TAATTTGTTAGACTATTGATAATGTATAAACCGTATTAAACAAAAAGTATCATGATCAATCAATACAATTATCAACTAATAATACAGTTACTGATAATAATAACAATTTAATAATTATAAAAATAAAAAGATAATAATAATGACTATCCAATCTCAATTAATTACTTAATATTATTTTTCAATAAAACTAATATTTTAAATTCATATTATTTTACAGTTATTCATGTAAAAATTAAAATAAGTTACATTTTTATGTTATAGTATTTTTTAAAAATAAATATCTCTAATAAGTAATATTGTTATTAATAATAATTTCTTAATATTTGTTGTCTAAACAAAATTAATTGCATAATTAATAAAATTTAATTATCGTTTTAATTAAAATTTATAAATAAATAATTTGTTACGTTTTTTGTAAAGTTATCCTATATTATATTTAATTTACTTATTTTAATTATATAGACCAATAATATTTTAATAATATACAGTTTATGCTTAATGATTATTATGTATTTAATAAAATAAATAAATAATATCTTAAATACACATTATAGTTAAATAACATGCGATAAATTAAAACAACTATTAATATAATAATAATAATAATTTTAAGCTAGCATAATTTAACTATAAAATTAATTACTAGAGTTTTCAAATAAAATTTTTTAAAAATCAAAATATCGTTTTTTAAAAATATTTGATTAAGTAATTTTTAAATATTTTAATTCATAATTTATATAAATTAATTAAATATAAGATAAATAAATATATTTCAATTGATATAAATAAAATAATTTGATAGTTTTTAATGATTTGTATATTGAACAATAATAATTTTAAATTAAGATATTTGGAGACATTTAATCAATATTTATAAAAAAAATTACATGCCTTATTAATAAATCATTAACAATAATAAAATACAGTTTTAGTATATATTTAAAAATAGCATTTATTATATTAAAACACTTTTTATTATAAGATATATAATATAATTAAAATATCATATTTCATTATAAATAAGTAATGTCTATTAAAAATTATCAATAAATGCTTTTTATTTCAATACAATTAAGTCTGAATATGCAGAAACCACCTATAAACTCATGACTCTTATCAAAAATAGTACTAATCCTTAAACAAATGTAAAACTTTATTAATCTCTATCATTTGGTTTCAAATATTTTAACAAATAGTTTCATTCAAAAATATTGTATTTTTTTATTTAAAATTTATTTAAATTAAATTATTATTATTATTAATTGTGATTTAGTTATTATTATTATTACTAATTGTGATTTAGTTATTATTATTACTAATTGTGATTTAGTTATTATTATTACTAATTGTGATTTAGTTATTATTATTACTAATTGTGATTTAGTTATCATTATTATTATTACTACTAATTGTGATTTAGTTATCATTATTATTATTACTACAAATTGTGATTTAGTTATTATTATTATTACTAATTGTGATTTAGTTATCATTATTATTATTACTACAAATTGTGATTTAGTTATTATTATTATTACTAATTGTGATTTAGTTATCATTATTACTAATTGTGATTTAGTTATCATTATTATTATTACTACTAATTGTGATTTAGTTATCATTATTATTATTATTACTACAAATTGTGATTTAGTTATTATTATTATTACTAATTGTGATTTAGTTATCATTATTATTATTACTACAAATTGTAATTTATTTATTATTATTATTACTACTAATTGTGATTTAGTTATTATAATTATGATTAAGTTTTTGTATATTGTGTTTTTATATGCAATGAATGCATCTTTTAATGTCAACAATATTCAATATTTAAATGAAATAACTAACAGAGATAAATTAATTGATTTAATTGAAAGCAAAAAAAAAGAAAAAAATGAATCAAAATATAGGAAAAGTTATCCAATTTGCCATAAAAGAGTTGAAAATAAATTAAGAAGACAATCGGTAAATATATATAAAATTATAATAATTAATATTAATAATAGTTATTTTATTTAAAATAGGGAAATGATTACATAACATCTAAAGGGAAAAATGTACCTAAAAAAACATTTGTAAATATAGAAAATTGTTGTAAAAGATTGAAATGTTATAAAAAATTTAATGAAATACAACAAAATGAAATATTTAACAGGTATTTATAACTAAATTAATTTAAATATAAGTAGTTTTTAATAATAATTGTAATATTTTAATTTTAATTTAACTGCTAGTATAAAAAATAACTACAAATTAGCAGGCGCGGTTAAGCAAATTTTGGAAATTAATATTTTAATTGATATATTTTAATTTACCTTATATTATAATATATTAAATTTTAGATCAATCGAACCAATAATTTTAAAGTTATTAAATAAAATAAATTTTGATTATATTTTTTTTAATTTTAATTATAACAGGTACTGGAATTTAATGAATCAAGAAAAACAAGATTATATGTTAAAAGAGATGATGAAAAAAATAAATGATAATCAAGATTCACCGAGAAGTAACATATGGAATTATGCAATTAAAAATCAAGACAATTATGAGGTTAAAGTTTGTTTAACTTTTATAATAAATTTATTAAATATTGATATATCTAGAATTAAAAAAATTCAAAACAAACTAAATAAAAATATTAATTTAGTTGATCTAAGAGGTTATAATATTAAAAAATCAAAAATTGATAAAATTATATTTAATGATTTTATTAATTTATTCCCTACATTACCATCTCATTATACAAATAGTAATAAATTATATTTTTATAATAGTGAATTAAATATAACAAAATTATATAAACTTTATTTAAATTATTCTAAAGATAAAAATATTTCTAAAATTAGCTTTAGTTTATTTAATAATTTTTTTAAAATACATTATAATATTCAATTTAAAAAACCTAAAGCTGATGAATGTGATTTTTGTTTTGAATACAATAATAAAATAAATAATAAAAGTTTAATAAAAGATATAGATTATAACAATCATAAATCCTCTATATTAGCACACAAAAACATTAAAAATATGTATATTAATGATAATAAATATTTAGTAATTGAATTTGACTATGGGCAAAATAAGCCTTTACCATATTTAACAAATTCAGATGTTTTTTATAAAAGATTATTGTGGTTTTTTATATTAAATATTCATGTATATAATTATGATTCATTTATTTTTTATAATATTGAAGGGAAATTCCCAAAAAATGCTAATAGTGTAGTTTCTAATTTATATAGAGTATTAAATTTTATAAATAATGATATTTTAGAAAATAAAGAAATTATATTTATGTCAGATAATACATGTGCTCAAAATAAAAATTGGTGCATGGTAAAATTTTGTTCCTATATTTCAATTAAATTTAATATTAAATTAACACATATTTATCCTGTAAAAGGTCATACATTTTGTATGTGTGATAGAAATTTTGGAGTTATAAGTAAAAATTGTAAAAATAAAATTATTCAAAATCCTAATAAATATATAAATTTAATTAAAGAATGTAAATTTAATACTATAGAATCAGAGGTTTATGATTTTAATAGTTTTTTGAATAATTTTTTTCTGAAAAAAGATCAAAAATTCATATTTCTAAATTTGTAAAATTTTGTTTTAATCCTAATGGTGATATTTTTCTTTATGATAATTATTATGATCAAAATGTTGTTAAAATTAATTTAATTAAAGCTAATTTAATAGATATTAAATTATCTACTATAGATACAAATTTATTAATTGTTGATATAGGTATTACTAAAGAAAAATATAATGATATTTTAAGTTTGTTAAAATATTTAGATATAGAAAATCAAAAATATTATTTATCTTATTTTAAAGAAATTAATTGTAATTATAATAATGAATATATATCAGAAAGTGATGAAAATTAATGTAATTTTATGTATTTATTCAATAAATTTATTATTTTATGAGAGCGTACTTTATATTTTGCTTTAAGACTTAACCGTAAATATGGGACTTTTATAAATGAGTCTAAATGATTATAAGTGGTTTCTGCATATTCAGACTTAATTGTATTAATATAGTTTGTTATCATAAATATTATTAATATTGTAACACTATTTCTGGTACCTTCCACTGCACCCCATTGGTCCGCTTACCCAGACATTCCATAACATGTACACACCTACACTCATTATTATATAACGAGGAGATCAAGCCATAGCTCGAGGAGTCACCCCATGTGTAGCATAGAGTAAAGACTTGCTTACATATAATACTAGGGTCCGAGTTAGGACTAGTATAACACCTAATGTAATAATTGTGTATAATATTAATAAAACAGTTTCAAGTAAATATCTATTTGTGTCGCTTTTATTACTATTTGTGTTCACCGACTCCCACACTCATCGGTCCGGCAAATCCGTCCTTACAATATTATTGAAAATAATTTCCAATTTAATTGATAAACAAGTGCTTATTTATAATTAATTATATAATAGAATTAATGACAATAATATTTTTAAATAATTGAAAATAATTAAATTATACAAAAAAAATTATTTAGATAAATTAAAAAATAATAACAGTAATTTAAAATAAGTTTACAATTTATTATGTTATATATATAAATAATTATTTTACTAATTTAGAGATAAAAATTACATTTACATTACTTTATATTAAACTGTATGATAACTTAATATCATTAATTTTTGACTTATCAAAAATTTTATTATTTTATTGCATTTAAGTTTTACTTTTATATAAAACTAAGATTAAATTATCATAACAATGAAAGCCAATTTTTTATCTTAATTAATTTAAGTATAAATATAATTAGTGCGTATTTATAGTATAAATAAATAATAAAACATTGAAACAATAGTTTTTATTTTTTTTTAAATATGCTTAAAAATATTATTTTTATATATTTATTTATTTATTTAGTTAATAAATATTATTAATATATATGATAATATATTTATAATTATTGTAATAAATTACATTATATAATACTAAAAATGTCGCAAAATAGGAAAAAAGTACAAGGTAAAATTACTAAATTATTGTTGTTTTTAATTATAAAAATTAAATTTGTAATAATAATTATAATAATACTGTATTGTTTTTTTAATTAATAGATTTAACTAGATTATTTGAAAACATAGCTACTACTAACAATAGTAATCAAGATAATAGGACATCAACAATAGCAGGTAATAATCAAATTATATATATATATAAAATATTACATTAATATATTATTTACATATTGTAATCTACAATTAATTATTAAATAAATTATTAAATTATTATTATAAAATTTATAGGTCTAAAAGCACCTGGACAAAGTGATCAAAATTCAATAAGCACACATGCACCAATACCTAGATTTGATCATGATGAAAATAATTATCAACATGATAGTTTTTATGATGAAGATCTTGAGCTAGCATTAGCCCTAACTATGAGTTTAAATGATGATGGTGATAATAATAATAATAATAATACCAATAATAATGATGATAGACAATCATCTAATCAGCAAAATGAACATGGTAAAATTTATTTATAATATACAACAAAATAATTAAATCTAATCTAATAATTTCTAGCTATTACATCATCAACAACAACAACAATGGCAAATATAACAACTAATAATAATAATGATGACGAAATAGAAACTAATCAAGCTCATAATGAATTAAATACTAGCAATAATGTAGAAGTAGCTAGATCAATCAATTTGGAAATTAATAGTGATGATGATGATGATGATGATGATTATGATGATGATTATGATGAGGAACTGGAGCTAGCACTGGTACTTAGTATGAGCGTCAATGGTAATTTTTTATTATTAAATTATATATTTTTAATAAATTATTTTACTAACTTTTAACAATTAATCACCTAGATCAAACACTCAGTCCATCAAATCTACCACCACCACCGCAACCATCTGCACCTCCATCATCTCCACTACCACCACCATTACCTATATCTCTACCTCCCAGTGCTAGTATTACTAGTATAGCTAATTATAATTATATTTATGATACTAGTGCTGGTAGTACTAGTAGTAGTGGTGGTGGTAATACACAGTTAAATGAGGTTTCATGTTTGAACATTGAAATACAGGGACTATGCAATCAGCTATCGGAGCTACGTGATCAATATGACCATGATAAATTAGAGTGGAACAGTAGGCTAGACGATGCCAATAGACGTGCCAACAACAATAACAGTGCCCATAATAATACCGACACAAGTGTTACCTGCAAAATATGTTTGACAAATCCAATAGATTGGGCACTGTTACCCTGTGGTCATACGTTTTGCGGTGAATGTACCAATCAGTTGGCTACCTGTCCACTGTGTCGGCAAACAATTGAAGGCAAAACTAGAATTTATTTATTATAAACAATGTTTTAGCTATTATTTAACTATTAACTGATTATTATTATTATTATTTGACTATATTTTTATTAAAATATTTAATAATAATAATAATTTATTTTTTAATTAACAACTTATTTATTTTGCTAAAATTTAATATTTATGTGAACATATAGTGAACAAAATAATTATAATACTAATTATATTTATGATACTAGTGTTAGATACTAGAATATCGTTATTTTTTTATAGTAATTTATTTCTAATAAAAACTCACTAAATATTTTTAGTTTATTAATATTAGTATATTATAAATAAATATTATTGCAATGATACAGTTTTTATAAAATTTATTTCTTATGTTATACTGTATATATATATTATATATTGTATATTATTTAATATACGCAATAAGAAATTACTAAATTACAAATTGAAAAATTACTAAAATATTATTTTATTAAAATATTGTATTACATATTTGTGTTAATTTATCGATTATATACGGTATATATATATATATAATTATTTCTTAACTATATTTTTTATTAAGATTGATAATGATAATAATTATGATTATTTATTAACAATTTTTTCATATGTTATTATAACTAATTAATATTAAATTCTACTTTAGAAATAAAAATAAATTATATTAAACAAAATCAAAAATTTTATCTAAAAAAATTACATACTAAATGCATCCTATTTTTAAACTAATTATTTTAAATTAATATATTAATGCTTTATATAAGTTTATATTACAGTTTTTTCTAAAAAAAACATTATCTTTTTTAAAATTATTAAATAACATTATACCTGATTTTTAAAATAAAAAAATGCTTTTGTATTTTTTAAAAAAATACATTACAAAGTTATAAGCATATACATACTGTAAAATATTATTAATATAATACTAATTAAATATTAATTATTTAAGATATTCAACTGAGTTATAATAGACAGTGTGATTTTTCAGTATATCATATTTTAATTACAATAATTAGATAAAAAAATTTCATTTTAATTAAATATCTTTAATTTACTTGTTTTTTATAATAATAATACAATTCTATATACAGTATATTATATATATATAATATATATATAAAAGGTGTTTATACATATAATTAATATATAGTATACCAGAATCTGATTTTTGATTATTATTATTATACAAATTATAAATTAAATTAACATTTTATTTGAACAAAATTATTTGTTTTTTTAGGTACTATTTATGTTTATTTAGACTTAATTCGCATTAATATAATAATGTATGCTATCTTTCAAGATCATCACAATAATAAAAAAAAATTATAACAAACATATTTTTTTGCACTTAATAATTATATTTTTAATGATAAATATTAATTTAACATAGAAATAATAATAATAATAATGAAAAATAAATTAATTATATATTTAATTAATATATTAATTATTATTTTTTTTTATAATAAATAAAATTAAAAGCAATGATTGGGTTGAAGTATGGATGGATGACTTTAATTCAGATAAACTGGATCTAAATAATTGGGAATTTCAAGTGGGAAGGGGTCCTAATAATGATGGTTAGTATTATCATATACTATATATATAATATTTTAATTTTTTTAACATTATTTTTTATTTTTATAAATAAAACTGATTTATATATTAATTTTGATTTAAATTATTATAATTCTATATATATATATATATATATATATATAGGTTGGGGTAATAATGAGCTACAATACTATACTGATGGTGCAAATATTGAACTAAACAATGGTTTGATGTCAATCAATGTCAAAATTGATGAATTGAATGGCAGTTATTATTATTATACATCAACGCGTTTGCTATCAAAAAATTCATGGACTTATGGACGGTTTGAATGTCGGGCTAAAATGCCAAACGGCAAAAATCTATGGCCCGGTATCTGGATGATAGTAACCGAAAATAACCGATATACTAATGGAACATGGTACTATTTTCTATAATTTTCTATAATTTTTAAAATAAAAAATAATTATTATCTATGTAATAATATCTAGTTTATTTTGTAGATGAAAAAATAATTTTTATCCCTACACTTTATATTTATATTAATTAAATTAATTATATTAATTAAATTAATTAAATTAATTAAATTAATTAAATTAATTAAATTAATTAAATTAATTAAATTAATTAAATTAATTAAATTAATTAAATTAATTGCTATTGTATTGATAGTCTAATTATTTAATTATATACAGAATAAGATTATACATATAAATATATTTATTATAAATTACTAATATTAATATTTGATATAAATATTATAATATTATTGTAAGCGATGAAATAGATATAGCAATGGTTAAAGGGGAACGACCTAATCAATTGCTAGCCAACATTCACTACTATGGCGGCAGCGGCGGCGGCAGTCAATGGCCGTCTAAACAATTAGTTCAGACCACCCGAAGCAATGATGATTGGTTCAACTTTACCACTGATTTTTCGGCCAACTTTCACATATTCGGTATCGAATGGATTGGGTCGACCATTAAATGGATGGTCGATGGCCAACAATTTTTCGTAGAAAATATAGCTACTACTGCTGATGCACCCGAAAATGATGGTCAACCGCCAACAGTTGACCACAAGTTTCAATTGATATTAGATGTAGCAGTGGGTAGTGGTGATGGTGGTAGTAGTAGACATTTTTCTGCTAACCCATTAGATGATGGGCCAGTGGTTACTACACTGGACGAGTCTAGACATTGGACTCAACCCAATATGCTGGTCGACTGGTGTCGGGTATCGCAACTGAATCAGCCAACTGATGATTATGATGATCCACCTATAATACTTAGAGACGATACGGCAGCACCTGATGCAACAACACTGGCACCCGTTCCTGCAACAACAGCAGCAGCAGCAGCAGCAGGTGCACCCGATCCGGCAGCACCCGATGCCGATACAACCGACGCACCCGATGCCGAGACAACACATGCACCCGATCCTGCAGCGCCAACATCTCCAGTGACTCCGACCAAAAAACCGGGTCCATCCAAAAAACCCGGAACATCCAAAAAACCGGGCCCTACCAAAAAACCGGGACCATCTAAAAAACCGGGACCTAAGAAACCGGGTCATACTAAAAAATCTACACCTAAACGTAATAACATTAATAAACCTAAATATAATGTTAGAGTATAATATTTTTGTTGTTTTTTTAAATTAATCAATATCAATTGACCCAGTAGATTATAATTAGTTTAATGATATATATATAATCAGTTTTACCATACTTACAGTATATACTGTATATATATATAATCCACATTAATTAATAAATTAGGTAAAAGCTATAGTAAAGAAAAAAATTATTTTTTTATATATATATAAAAAACATATTTAAATTTTACAACTATTTATAGTATTAAACTTTTTTTTTGTAATTTAATTTATCAACAAAAAAAATTATACGATATATAATATATACAAATATTGCAAAAACAATTTTTTTTATATATATAAATATATAATTAAATTATAACACCAATTATTGTATATTTTTACATATTAGATTAATTTATAAAATATATATAAGTTAATAATTAGATAATACAACAATGAAATTTATATATATTTAACACATTTAATTAATATCATGTTTTTGAATTTATATTTTTTAGGAAAAAAATTATTACATGTTTAAGTAATTTTAAATAAATATAATTACATTTACCAGTATATTTTTTAATTTTTAAATATAAAAATTATAACACTTACTAACACATAAAATTTGTTATACATTAAACATGAATTACATAACACACACACAGTAACACACATTTTTATATACATTATATGTATTATATAATTATATATAAATTTAAATTTAGCTGCTCATCGATGATTGGTTAGTCAATGAATGGGACATTTAAATGAATGAGTGAGTGAGTGAGTGAGTGAGTGAGTGAGTGTGTGTGTGTGAGAGAGAGAGAGAGAGAGAGATAGGGAGAGAGATATGGAGAGAGAGGGAGAGAGAGGGAGATAGGGAGAGAGGGAGAGAGAGAGAGGAGAGAGAGAGGGAGAGAGAGGGAGAGAGAGTGGGAGAGAGAGGGAGAGAGAGGGAGAGAGAGGGAGAGAGAGAGAGAGGAGAGAGAGGGAGAGAGAGAGAGAGAGAGAGAGAGATAGAGAGTATAGTACTTATATACTTATGTGAGATGACTCACCCACCAGAGTCTACAACGGCTTTCCCTTTATATTCAAACATATGTCTCTACAGTCTATTGTCGATATAAAAAAATAAACATAATTTAATAGTACTGTATATATTTATATAGCTAATTTTTTTATAATGTTAATTTTTACAAAAAAATATATTATTAATTAGTTAATTAAGTTAATCATTTAAATAAAAAATTATAAAAATTTTCTATTATTTTAAAAAATAGTAATACTGTATTTGTACATGTATATTTTTGTTAAGTAGTTTTAAGTTATCAACTGTTGCTATACGTTTGATAAGCGCCCCCCCTCTACTATCTACTGTGTATGTGCATATGTGTATGTATGTGTGTGTATATGTATGTGTATGTATGTATGTGTGTGTATGTGTGTGTATGTGTGTGTATGTGTGTGTGTGTGTGTGTATGTGTGTGTTTATGTGTTAAAGGACTGGTAGTTTGTTATGGGGATAGGGATGTACTTTTATAATATTGTATTTTAAAATAACTAATAATAATTTTTAATTTATCAAACATTATTAATGTTTAGTGTGTTGTTTGTGTTGTTGTTGCTAGTTGCTATTTTATGATTTCAATGTAAACAATTTAATTACAATAATATATTTACCCAAAAAAATATTAAAACATTATTTGAATAATAATACTAATAATATAATTGATTGATTGATACGTAAACTGTAATATAAGTTGAATAAATAGTTTCAATATTTGTATAGTTTATTAAACTAAACATTTAGTAACAATTATTTTAAGAAAAGTTTATTAACAAACATTATTATTATTATTTTATTTTAATTTTGTCTAAAATTTATTTTTAAATATATATATTATTAATATTTTACTGTTCAATGATTAAAACAACAATTATTTAATAATGTAATAATAATAATAATGTTTATTAACTTAATTGTCAAATAGTTATTGTGATAGTTATTATATGTACTAATATAATGTAATTTTAAAAAAACTGTAAACATATGAATAACAACATTATTAATATATAATAATTAAAAAATCTATAGTTTTAATAGAAATATATAATATAAAACAAAAATCAATTTAATTTTTAGTAAAAATAAAAAAATGAATTATTATTTTAAAATAATTATTTGTGCCATACTTAATATTACTAGTCTATTCATCAATAATGTAACTGGTAAGTTTATTTATTAATTTTATATTTTTAACATTTTAACATTTTACTATTAATCTAAAATTTAAAACATTTTAAATTTTCCTATTTTTAATTAAGTATAAACAATTTTTGATAACTAAAAATTAATATATATTTAATATCTTATATAAAAAATCAATTATATATATATATATATTTATTGATTACAATATTAAATATTTATTATATTAAATAATAGTTTATAAAGTTATAGTTAGATTAAATTACTAACTAAACTATTAAAAATATATATATGATATTTAGTGGAAATAAAACAAGTAATATGATATAAATTTTTATTTATATAAACTATTTAATTATCTCATATTATTTTTTAAAAAATAAAAAATTACTAATCAATCAATAGGTCTATTAACCCAATCAATTGTAATGCAAGTGTCGGCCAACTCGACAAAAGTATGGCCAGTCTATAGTCCATTGGATAATCCGGTATCCAAATGGGTTGGGTTTGTCACTGTTGGCCTACACTCACAGCAACACAATCTAACGCTGTCCAAGACCAACGATCATCTCAGCCGCAAGCGATTGGTCAGCGGCCGTGATATCGGTTTGGTTTTGTTTACCGATACCGATACGGGACACGTGTTTATACGTAACGATAACAGTGTCGATGTTAATGCACTGTTGATTATCAATGAACATCAAACTAGTGGTTAGTTTTTTTTAAAATAAAAAATCCTAACAATAATGATATTAGTTTTTAAAGTTTTAATTTAAAAAAATTAAATAACATGTTTATTTATATTAACTAAAAAATTATTTTATTTATATTTATAAAAAAATACTGACATTTTTACCCTAAATAGCTATATAATCAATCTATACAAACATAGTTAAACAAATAATTTTTATCTAAGTTTAAAGTTATATTACAAAAAATAGTAAAATATTTTTTTTTCTGTGTGTGAATAGATCCCATTCCCGGTGCTTGCAATCAGGAATTTCCGTTATCGGTATCACCGTTTCAACGTCTATACGAAACTTCAATAATGAATCGTTTGGATTTTCAATTAGCTAATTTAGGTAATTAAATATATAATTAATTAATTATTACCCTATTATAAAATAATAATTTTAATAATATATTTAAACTATATAAAATGTTTTTTTTTTTAATTTGTTAAAAGGTTTCAATGATGACCAGTGCGAGAAAAATCACCGAAACTTACGATACGATCTCTACGTTTATTATTTGCCGCAAAACGACTTTACCGAACGGGAATATTTTCGGTCACTGTCGGTGATGAGCAATGTTACGGAGATTGTCAATGTGGCCACACTAGTAATTATATATTTTTTAATAATAATAATAATTATTATTATTATTTAGTTTTTTTTGTTGATAAATATATCCAATTTATCTGTAGATACCTAACGTCACACAATTGCGACACTATTTCTATGCCTATACGGGACGGCCGGTAGTCTATAATATCATAGTATCGGCAACTACTGGTGCTGGTTATAGACACCTGTCGGCGTACGTACCGATTGTGGCCTACGATTGCGGTATTAATAGCTGGAATGATTGCGGTAAACAAGGTATGTCTATTAATAATATTACATTTATTAAATAATTTATTAAAATTAAAATTTTAATTTTTTTTAAATTTAAATCATTCAATCAGATGTTACAATACTTATAATGACAATAGTTATGGGTTTACTCGGGTTTGTCGTATGCCTGAGAGGTCACCTATGGTTTCAATTACGTAAGTCTATCATAGGTTATACAGTATATACTTGTATATATGTTGTATGAATTTATTAATAATTAATTATTTATTTATTTATATTTTTTTTAAATAATAGAAATGATATTTTACGGACTCATTAGCGGCTCATTTGTTTCAATAATATTGCTATTGAAATATACCGATGAAAGTGAAACATCAGTCGAATTGTATACCTGTGCCGCCGGTCTGGTTATGTCTGTCCTATGGCTGTCCATTTGGAAACTGTTTCATTTGCCAATGTTATCCCTACTGCTGACTGGTCTTAATTTGGGTGTCCTATTGATGGCTACCCTATTGTATACACCGGTTGGCAATTATTCAGTGTTTAACAACGATATTAACTATTGGCTGATTATGAGTTGTGCGGCACTAATGATAACCATTGTGTTTCCGGCGCTCAACGCTATTGGGGTAATGTATAGTTAAAATTTTAATTATTTATTTCATATATTAATACAGTATTATTATTATTACAATAATTAGTAAAATTAGATAAATATTTTGAATATATATATATATATATAGTTTGTTATGAGATATAAATTTAATTTAGAGGAGAATTTATTTTTTAATTTGAATTTTACTAATATAAATGCAATATACTATTATTGCCAATTGTTAATGTAATAATTATTTTGTTTACTAAATTTTAATATTGAAAAAAACAAATTTTATTTTTATAAGGAAACTGTAGATTAATTTATAAATATAGTAATATACTTATCTGATAATGATTTTTATTTTATAATTAGTTGTGCTTTATTTGATTATTATTTTTTTTTATTTTACTAATTAAATTAAAAAACTTTTACTAAGAATTATTGATTTTAATAATGATTTTTATTTATAATAATTTAAATAATTAATGTTTAATATTAACAAAACATTTATTGTGTTTATATATCTCAAAATATATTAATTAATATAATTTTACTTATTTTTCAAATAAATAAAAGTTTTGTTTATAATAAATACAGTATATGATAAAAATTTACTATTAATGATAAAAATTTAAATATCTAACTGTAGATACTGTTGAATAAATACAGTATAACATATTTATTTATTTTTTAAAGCTTATCTTGTTAATAGATTAAATTGTAAATAATATTTAATTAAATAAACTAATAATTTTTACTAATAAGATTTTTATTGTAATTAAATTAATATTATAATATTTTTTTATTGAATTTATTTTAATTATTAACAGTTAAGCGTAATCTCAACGGCAATTGTCGGCTCCTATGTATCGATAGTAGTGGTCGATCGGCTAATTGGCGGTTCACTGTCCTATATCATTGTCAATGTCATCAAACGGGCACTGGTATCGCACGAACCAGCCATCAATGTCGTACCGTTTCAGACCAAAGGTATATCCAAAACAAACAATAAAATTATATTTAGTTATTATTATTAACAAAAAAAAACTTTAAATTTTTTTTTGTCAAACAGATATAATACTGGCGTCTATTTGGGTATTGTTATCATTGACGGGTATAGTCCTACAAATGCACAGCTCATCCATGAGAAGTCCATTCCCGGCACCGCGCGATAGCCGACAACAACAACAACAGCGTCGACGATCACCACACACGCGTCGACACAGGTATTATCGCCGAAGATCTCAATATGATGACGACTTTGATAGCGGCGATGACCACAGCGGTGGTGGCGATAACAGACAGCCGACGGCAGCTGAAGGAGACGATAGTAGTTATCTGTATCAACACAACAACAACAGTCGCAATCAAACACACCGATCCTCATCGGGTCGCCGGAGCCGCCGCTGGCAACCCGTACCCAATCCTAGACGGTCGACATCAGCCAATCCGACGGCACCGCCCTATACTACCGGAGTTCAGAGGCCGGCAATTGACGAACGAAGTTCTTTACTACAGAACCAATACTATGATCGTCATCAGGATGTCGGCAATTATGGCCTAACCAGTGGTTTAGGTACTGGAGCTGCTGCTGATGCTGCTGATCCTGTTATTACTACCGGTGCCTACAGTGTCGAGACATTAGGTGCTAATAATTATAATACTACTAATACTAATCGTAATAATAATAGTCATACTGTTGTTGGTGTTGTTCCCAATGTTAGTGATAGTCCGCCACCCGATTATAATCATCTGTTTATTACAAATACAAATAATAGAGAGTATCAAAACATCTAATCAAATATTATGATAATTATTATTTTGTTTTCTCAAAAACTATGTTTATTTAATATTAAAGCAATTAATATATATTATTGAATATTTATACTAAAAAAAAATTATTGTAATAATTATTTTTATAATATAATAGTCAATTATTTTTCTTTTTGTAACTTTTACTAAATAATTGATTTATATTATTGTATCATATTTTCTGAAATATAAAGATTAATAAAATTTAGTTTTCAAATTATTTTTAGAGAGTATCAAAACATCTAATTAAATATTAATTATTTTTTTTATTATAAAAATTATGTTTTTTAAATATTAAAACAATTAATATATTTTATTGAATATTTATACTAAAAAATTATTGTAATAATTATTTTTATAATATAATAGTCAATTATTTTTCTTTAGTATAACTTTTACTAAATAATTGATTTATATTATCGTAATATTATTGTAAAATATATTTTCTTAAATACAAAGATTAAATTAAATTTAGTTTTCAAATTATTTTTGTTTTTTTAGTATTATAAGTGTTTAGTTACTATAAATAAAATAATATAATTAAAATCTTCAACATAAATATCTGAATTTTATATGTCCTTACGTCCGGTAAATAATAATATGGATTATAAATATAAGACAAAATACAATAAAATAAATAAAGTATAAAATGGGACTAAACTGAAAAAACCCCTAAAGATATTTTTAAAAAATTGTTAAATAAATTAAGTTATTTTTATTTAGTCAAAATTAATCAATAAAATATTAATATAAATAATATAATAATAGATAATATAAAATTAATTGATACTAATGCTATTTTTTAATTATTTACAATAAATTTAGTAAACTAGTTTGTTTAGTTAAAAAATAAAATTGATAATGATAATTAGTATTTAGTTTGAAAAATTTAATTACTAAGTATTATATTTATATTTACTTTAAAAAAAATTAGTATAATTTACAAAAAATAACCGATAATGTTATGCAAATAATTTTATTCTTTTATTTTCAAAATAATTCAAAGATTTCAATAATAATTTTATATAATTTTTTTTGCAACATTTAACATACTATTTACTATTTTGTCAGTAATGATTGTATCATTAATCCACGGCAAATATGCTGAAACCTTAGTATAGATGCCAGGAGTATTATCAATATTGCATCCAAGTCCAGTGAAAGAAGCGACACCCACGACAACCCATTTATTACTAATATATACTTTACAATTAAGTGGTCCGCCACTGTCACCTTCACAGATACGTTTATTTGAATTATGGGCACATAATTCAGTATTTTCATTGATAAAACGTTGTTTACCATCAAGTTTTAGTGCATTGTCACATTTGCGGGGATCGAGAATTGATAAATCTGCTACTTGTAAAATATCCGAATTCGTTTCGTTATCATGTTTTTTACCCCAACCGGTAGCCACACATGAGTTAAAATTAATTGGATAGATTGATTTTGGCAAATTAATTTTTTTCCAAAAAAGAATGCTTATTGAAGTCAATAGGTTCGTTAAGTTTTATTAAAGCTATATCATTATTATGTGCACCGTTTTCATTATAACCTGGATGAACAATAGCCTGGGTTGTTTAAGAAATATATTAAAACAAATAGAAACAATTGTTAATCAATTATAAATATTAAATAATAATAATAATATTATTTACATTTAAAGCATATCTATAAACTGTATTAGTATTTTGGTTATCGGAAATTTGGTGTTTTCCTAATGAAACCATAACTCTATAGGTTAAGGCATTATTTTTATACACACAGTGAGCAGCAGTCAAAATCCATTGTTTATCAATTATACTACCACCACAAAGCGTAATATTCTCAATATTATGAAAATAACTCCCAAAAACGGCCATCCACGGATAGGTTTTAATATCGGCATCTCGTCCGCCAATCATTCGGGTAATATCAGCATTAGTATCGGACTCATCATCGTATGTATAGACAGACAACAAATTCAGATTGAATGCTATAAATAATATAAATAAATTTAGTTTTAAGTCAATAATCATTGATAATAATTTTATTAATAAAATATACAAAGATATAGTTAACTATATAATTATAATTATCTAAGTATATTCTGAATTTTTAATATAAAAAATTTAGTTTTATATCAATCATCATTTTGTTTAATAATAATAAAATTTATAGTATAGTATAACTTTATTATATATACTATACTAAATCTATTTATACTTTTACATTATTTTAGAGAAAGTATTGAAATAATTTTAGTTTTATATTTAAATTCATTAATCATAGAGAAATTAATAGCATAGTTGTTTTTATTTAAAAATATTTTTAAATTAATTGTTTTAAACATTTGTTTTGTTATTTTTAATAAATAATGAGTTATAAAATATGCATTTTTAAGACTGTACTGTACTTTACTTATACATGTATTTAAAAATAATTTTTTTTATACAAATTCAAGTATTTTTATAAATTTATTGAATAATTATTTTTATTATTATATAAATTATAATATTTGCTTTTATTTTATTTGGAAAAAATTATCTATAAAACAATATACATTTAAATTAACTTAAAAATAATAAAATTATTATTTTGGCAAATATGTTTTTAAAATTAATTAGTTTGTACTATATTGACAATTTATTTTTAAATTTAAATTTAAAAGATAAATTTTATCTAATGATGTAAATTAATAATTAATAAATATGTCAAAACTATATCCTTGATTGCATAATAACAATAATTACATTTTCTGTCAATTTATTCACTTTTTGAATTAATTACTTTAAAACATTTGTTTTTTCAAATTATATATTCAATGAAATTTTAAATATTATATTTTTTTTTTTTTAATAATTTGATTATATCTTGAATTTTTATTTTATAATAGTAGTAAATAATAGTTGTATAGATAAAATGTACAATTGATTAATAAAATTAAAGACTAAAATTATTAAAACGTAAAACTGAATTAATTTTGAAAAAATTAAGTTTATTTTTTAATATTACAATACTATCTATATTTTATGACTATTAATAAATTAATCAAACTAAATGTGTCACTAAAATTATTTTAAAAATATTAAGTAATAAATATGTCGTAAACTACATACTATTACATGAAAATAAATTAATTAATTGTCAAAGTTTTAAAATTTAAATGTGGGAATTTTAGTAATTTTCAATTTTTATAAAAATCTGTTTATATGTTATAATTAAGTAATTTTCTAAATTTTAATTTTTTTTGTAAAACAAACTATTAATTAATATTTTAAATACTTTATTATAATATTAGTAATAATATTATTTTTTTAGTTTTTAAAATCATTTAATATTCAATGAATATATTTATATATAATTTTATTAAAAATAAATTTAATTACTATATATAGTATTTTTAACATTTTTGGCAAATATTTTAGTGCTAATAAAAATTCATACATAATTATATATATATTTAATTATATTTAAACTTAAATAAATTAAAAGATATTTAATAATAAATTTTAAAAACAATATATAATAATTTATAATAAAAATATCTAATAATAATCATAAACTATAAATATATCGATATATTTAAAATACTAATTAGTTATTCAATAAAATTATATACATTTCCCACAGTTTTTCTAAATAAGTAATAAGTATTATATATCTATAGGATGACAATAGACAGCCGACGGCAGGTGATGGAGAGGACAGTAGTTATTTATACCAAACACAACAGTCACCACCAGACACACCGTTCCTCGTAATCTGATTCGGCTGTCCGTACCCGCCGCTGGCAACCCTTACCCAATCCGACGGCACCGGCCTTTACTACCGGAGTTCAGAGGCCGGCAATTGACGAACGAAGTTCGTTACTACAGAACCAATACTATGATCGTCATCAGGATGTCGGCAATTATGACCTAACCAGTGGTTTAGGTACTGGAGCTGCTGTTGATGCTGTTATTACTACCGGTGCCTACAGTGTGTAGACATTAGGTACCAATAATTATAATAATACTAATCGTAATAATAATAGTCAATATAATAATCAATTATTTTTCTTTTATGAAACTTTTCTAAATAATTGATTTATATTATCGTAATATTATTGTATAATATATTTTCTTAAATACAAAAGTTAAATAAAAATTTAGTTTTTAAATGATTTTTGTTTTTGTAGTAATATATGTGTTTAGTTACTATAAATATAATAATAATATATTTAAGAGCTTTAATATCTGAATTCTATTTGTCTTTACGTCCGGTAAAAATTGTCATAGTATTTTGATTCTACAATTTTAATTAGCATCATTATATTTTATTTACTTTTAAGAAATTAAATAATAATAAAAAAAACCCGAAAATGTTATGCAAATAATTTTATTCTATTATTTTCAAATAATTCAAAGATTTCAAAGATATTTTATCCTATAAATTTTTTTGCATCATTTAACATACTATTTAATAGTTTGTCAGTTTTGATTGACTTATCAATCCAATCCAAATATGCTTCAACATTAGTATAGATACCAGGAGTTCTATCAATTTGGCATCCAAGTCCAGTGAAAGAAGCGACACCAACGATCACCCATTTATTTAAATTATATAATTTACAACTAAGTGGTCCACCACTGTCACCCATACAGACACGTTTATATGGATTAAAGGCACATAATTCAGTATTTTTATCGATAATACGTGATTTATTATTTAATATTAGTCTATTGTCACATAGATGGGAATCAATAATTGATAAATCTGCTTCTTGTAAAATATCCGAACTAATTTCGTTATTTTTTGTCATACCCCAACCAGTGGCCACACAAGTGCTACCATTAATTGTATAGAAAGGTTTTATCAAATCAATTTTTTGCAGAAAGGAGTGCTTATCGTCGAAATCAAGAGTTTCGTTAAGTTTTATTAAAGCTATATCATTATGTGAACCGTTTTCAACATAACCAGGATAAACAATAACCTGGTTGTTTAAGAAATATTTTAAAAAATTAATTTAAAAAATATCAATTATAAAAATAAAAAATATTAATAATTACATCTGAAGCAGCTAAATAAACTGTTTTATCATGTTGGTTATCGGACATTTTGTGTTTTCCTAATCCAACACTAACTTGCTTGTATAAAACATTTTTATTATACACACAATGAGCAGCAGTCAAAACCCATTGTTTATCGATAATACTACCACCACAACCATTTATATAATTAGAAAAAGTAGTATTAAGTTGGGCCATCCAGGGATAGGCTTTAGGATTGGCATCTCGTCCACCAATCATTCGGGTAATATCAGCATTAGTATCGGACTCATCATCGTATGTATAGACAGACAACAAATTCAGATTGAATGCTATAAATAATATAAATAGATTTAGTTTTAAATCAATCATCATTTTGTTTTAATATTATTAATAAAATATACAAAGATATAGTTAATTATATATTATACTTATCTAAGTATATTCTGAATTTTTAATATAACAATTTTCATCTATTTATACTTTTTTATTATTTTAGAAAAAGTATTGAAATACATTTATTTTATATTCAAAATCATTAATCAATAAAAATTAATAGCATAGTTGTTTTTATTTAAAAATATTTTTTAGAATTAATTGTTTTAAACATTTGTTTAATTATTTTAATAAATAATGAGTTATAAAATATGTATTTTTAAGACTGTACTGTACTTTACTTATACATGTATTTAAAAATAAAAAATTTTATATGAAATCATTTATTTTTATAAATTTATTGAATAATTATATAACATATATTTATGAATAATTATTTTTATTATTATATAAATTATAATATTTGCTTTAATTTTATTTGGAAAAAATTATCTATAATATACTATAATTATCTAACAAAATATACATTTAAATTAACTAAAAATTATAAAATTATTATTATGTCAAATATGTTTTTTTAAATTAATTAGTTTGTACAATTTTGAAAATTTTTTAAATTTAAATTTAACAAATAAATTTTATCTGATGTAAATGTTGATGTAAATTTATAATTAATAAATATGTCAAAATTACATCCTTGATTGCATAATAATAATAATAATATTTTTTGTCAATTTAATATCTTTTTGAATTTATTACTTTAAAACATTTGTTTTTTTAAATTATATATTCAATGAAATTTTAAATATTATAAAATTTATTACAATTTGATTACATCTATAATTTTTATTTTAAATAATAGTTATAAAGATAAAATGTACAATTGATTAATAAACTTTAAAGACTAAAATTATTATAACCTAAAATTGAATTAAGTTTTTTAAAAATAAGTTTATTTTTTTAATATTATAATATTATCTATATTTTAAAACTATTAATAAATTAATAAAAATTAAATGTGTCATTAAAATTATTTTGAAAATATTAAGTAATAAATATGCCGAAAACTAAATACTATTACATGAAAATAAGTAAATTAATTGTCAAAGTTTTAAAATTTAAATGTGGCAATTTTAGTAATTTTCAATTTTTATAAAAATCTGTTTATATGTTATAATTAATTAATTCTCTAAATTTTCAATTTTTTATTAAAAATAAATTTACTTACTATTATATATAGTATTTTTTATATTTTTGGCAAATATTTTAGTGCTAATAAAATTTCATACATAATTATATATATATTTAATTATATTTAACTTAAATAAATTAAAAGATATTTAATAATAGATTTTTAAAGCAATATATAATAATTTATAATAAAAATCTCTAATAATAATCATAAACTATAAATATATCCATATATTTAAATACTAATTAGTAATTCAAAAAAAATTATATACATTTTTAAGAATGTACTGTATTTTACTTATACATGTATTTTTAAAAAAATATATACGAAATTATTTATTTTTATAAATTTATTAATTATTTTTATAAATTTATTAAATAATTATATAACATTTATTTATAAATAATTATTTTTATTATTATATAAATTATATTATTTGTATTTAAATTTATTTTAAATAAAATTTATCTATAAAATATTTATTTAAATTAACTTAAAAATTATAAAATTATTATTATGCCAAATATGTTTTTTTAAATTAATTAGTTTGTACTATATTGACATTTAAAAAAATTTAATTTAAAAAAATAAATATCTAATGATGAAAATTAATAATTAATAAATATGTCAAAACTATATCCTTGATTGCATAATAATAATAATAATAATATTTTCTGTCTAAAACTACATACTATTACATGAAAATAAATAAATTATTTGTCAATGTTTTAAAATTTAAATGTGGAAATTTTAGTTATTTTTAATTTTTATAAAAATCTGTTTATATGTTATAATTTATTAATTCTTTATATTTTAATTTTTTTTGTCAAACAAACTATTAAATTTTATTTTAAATACTTTTTTTAAATATTATTAGTAATAATATTATTATTTTTTTACTTTTAAAATCATTTATTAAAATTTATAATTTTCAATGAATATATTTATAAATTATTTTATTAAAAATAAATTTACTGACTATATAGTATTTTTAATATTTTTGGCAAATATTTTAGAGCTAATAAAAATTCATACATAATTATATATATATTTAATTATATTTAAACTTAAATAAATTAAAAGATATTTAATAATAGATTTTAAAAATATATTATTATTTATTATAAAAATCTTTAATAATAATCATAAACTATAAATATATCCATATATTTAAATACTAATTAGTAATTCAATAAAATTATACACATTTCCCACATTTTTTCTAAATAACTAATAAGTATTATATATCTATGTGATGACAATAGACAGCCGACGGCAGGCGATGAAGAGGACAGTAGTTATCTGTATCAACACAACAGTCCCAACCAGACACACCGTTCCTCGTGGTCGTCGTCGGCTCTCCAAAGCCGCTTCTGGCAACCCGTACTCTGTAATTATTAACAGTTAAGCATAATCTCAACGGTAATTGTCGGCTCCTATGTGTCGATAGTAGTGGTCGATCGGCTAATTGGCGGTTCACTGTCCTATATCGTTGTACAGCCGGCAATTGACGAACGAAGTTCGTTACTACAGAACCAATACTATGATCGTCATCAGGATTTCGGCAATTATGGCCTAACCAGTGGTTTAGGTACTGGAGCTGCTGCTGATGCTGTTATAACTACCGGTGCCTACAGTGTCGAGACATTAGGTGCTAATAATTATAATAATAATACTAATCGTAATAATAGTCATACTGTTGTTGTTGTGCCCAATGTTAGTGATAGTCCGCCACCCGATTATAATCATCTGTTTATTACAAATACTAATAATAGAGAGTATCATAACATCTAATCAAATATTATGATAATTATTATTTTGTTTTCTCAAAAACTATGTTTATTTAATATTAAAGCAATTAATATATATTATTGAATATTTATACTAAAAAAAATTATTGTAATAATTATTTTTATAATATAATAGTCAATTATTTTTCTTTTTGTAACTTTTACTAAATAATTGATTTATATTATCGTAATATTATTGTATAATATATTTTCTTAAATACAAAAATAAAATTAAATTTAGTTTTAAAATTATTTTTGTTTTTTTAGTATTATAAGTGTTTAGTTACTATAAATAAAATAATATAATTAAAATCTTCAAAAATAAAATTAAATTTATTTTTAAAATTATTTTTGTTTTTTTAGTATTATAAGTGTTTAGTTACTATAAATAAAATAATATAATTAAAATCTTCAAAAATAAAATTAAATTTAGTTTTAAAATTATTTTTGTTTTTTTAGTATTATAAGTGTTTAGTTACTATAAATAAAATAATATAATTAAAATCTTCAAAAATAAAATTAAATTTAGTTTTAAAATTATTTTTGTTTTTTTAGTATTATAAGTGTTTAGTTACTATAAATAAAATAATATAATTAAAATCTTCAACATAAATATCTGAATTTTATATGTCCTTACGTCCGGTAAATAATAATATGGATTATAAATATTAATATAAGACAAAATACAATAAAATAAATAAAGTATAAAATGGGTCTAAACTGATTAAACACCTAAAGGTAACAAAAAAAAATTATGATTAAATAAATTTATTATTTGTATTATTTATTGAAAAACAAATCAAATTTATTTAAGAAAAATAAACTAAGTTATTTTTATTTAGTCAAAATTAATCAATAAAATATTTATTTAAATTAATTATTTTTAAAAATATTAACAGATAAAATATTAAATTAATTGACACTATTGCTATTTTTAATTATTTACAATAATTTTAGTAAACTAGTTTGTTTAGTTAAAAAATAAAATTGATAATGATAATTAGTATTTCGATTGTACAATTTAATTAAACTCATTATAAGTATTATATTTATATTTACTTTAAACAAATTTTTATTATAATTATTAATGAAAAAGCGATAATTTAATGCAAATAATTTTATTTTCAAAATATTTCAAAGATTTAAAAATATTTTATTTAACATTTTTTTTATATTATAAAAATATAATTAAATATATAAAATATCAACATTTAGTAAATATTACTTAATTTAATTTTTCTATTATTGATTGTATCATCAATCCATTGCAAATATGATTGAACATCCGTATAGATGCTAGGAGTTCTATCAATTTTGCATCCATCACCTGTGAAAGAAGCGACACCCACTACAACCCATTTATTAGTAATATCTACTTTACAATTAAGTGGTCCACCACTGTCACCAGGACAGACACGTTTGTTGGGATTATAGGCACATATTTCAGTATCTCTATCGATAATACGTGGTTTGCCATGTATTATTAGTTTATTGTCACATGCACGGTTATCCATAATTGATAATTCTGCTTCTTGTAAGACATTCGAATTCGGTTTCGTTATTATGTTTTTTACCCCAACCGGTGGCTACACACGTGTTAGGATTAATTGGGTAGATTGTTTTTGGCAAATTAATTTTATCCAAAAAAAGAATACTTATCGAAGTCAATAACTTGATTAAGTTTTATTAATGCTATATCATTATGTGCACCGTCTTCAACATAACCTGGATAAACACTAACCTGATATATTTAAACAAATAAAATGTTAATTAATTATAATATTTTAAAAGCAAAAAAAAAATGATAATTACATTTGAAGAAGTTATATAAAATGCATCGGAAAGTTTGTGTTTTCCTAAGTAGACAACAACTTTATCGTATAATACATTATTTTTATACACACAATGAGCAGCAGTCAAAATCCATTGTTTATCAATTATACTACCACTACAATGCATTATTTCATCATTATTAGTATAAGTATTAAGATAGGCCATCCAGGGATAGGTTTTAATATCGGCATCTCGTCCGCCAATCATTCGGGTAATATCAGT